AAAAAAAAAAAAAAAAAAGCTCTCAAACTGACTGCCCAGCCTCTCTCAAACCTAAGTTTGGTGGCCTACATGATATTTGCTCAGAAGAAGAAGAATTAGGACAGTCATTGCTCCTGATTCTGTCCTTGGTTTGTCTTTATTTTCCATTGTTGTATTATGCTGCCTTTTCTGTTCTCTACAAAATACCATATCACTTTAAAAGTATTATCTACCCTTCTGTAATGTGGCATGGAAATCCCACCACCTCATTTTCTGTGTTATAGCAAGCAATATAGAGTTCACGTTTTGTAAAAAAATGGGGAAAAATAGTCATTATAAAATAATGCTCACTCTTACGTAGGGTTTCTTGCTAGATCGTCCAAAATATCTTTCCAGGAAAGCCAGAGGCAAAATATGTCTTCCTAAATACTCTCTCAGTTCATGAATTCTTGTTTATAAGTAACGTATTTTGGAAAACTACTAGTCGTACTTTTACTTTTTCTATAACAACATACCTTATAAAAGGTCGTGTCACTGCAAGGATTGTTCTGATGAACCAAGATGGATGAACAATGATGAATGATTTCAGATTCTTTCGCAATCTGTTTTAAAAAAAGAAAAAAGAATTACTCATAACCCTTTTCCAGTAGGAGTTAAAACAGAAAGTATATCCCCAAATAAGAATATTGTAATATTAGAGAGTTCTAGGTAAGTTACTATTACCCGATGAGAAGGTATAGAATGACTATGATTAATAAAAAATACTTTTGAGATATCACTTGTAACTTGTATGATGCCAACCTCATTTTCCCATAGGAATCCATGTAAAATAGAACGGTTATATCAGTGCTTAAATCTAGAACTATCATGGTATATTTTTGCTTAACAATGCCTTTCGTTTTTGCCAGCATTATCTTTACTATTTTGAAAAGAGCACACTCTTACTAGCAACTCAGCCGATTTATTGGATCAACTAAGCCTTGGTTTCTTCTTCTGTATAATGAAACAGTGTATCATGTGGTTATTTGTCATTCAGGCTACCATTTTAATGCTCTTGACATTCAGGCATGTTTTTCAGCATTAGCAATGCTGTTTATAAATGTTTGGATCATCAAATGGATCTTTGTTAATATAAGATCATGCAAGGAGCCAGATCTGAGGGGATACCACACTTATCATAGACACCGTATGTCTGTATATTTATGATAATTTTCCTGTTGCTGGCAATATAACATGTTTTGTTTTAGTCCAGCCAGTATGGATGGAAGTAAAGTATCTTTTTTTTTTTTTAAAGATTTTATTTATTTATTTGAGAGAGAGAATGAGATAGAGAGAACATGAGAGGGGGGAGGGTCAGAGGGAGAAGCAGACTCCCTGCTGAACAGGGAGCCCGATGCGGGACTCGATCCCGGGACTCCAGGATCATGACCTGAGCTGAAGGCAGTCGCTTAACCAACTGAGCCACCCAGTCGCCCCGGAAGTAAAGTATCTTGACGAAAAGGTGCACCAAGGCACCAAATGGGCGAGCGGTTAACTTGAATCATCAGTGAATAATGAAATACTAGCACGACAGTTGCCCAAACCAAAACAGTCCCAGTGCACATAAAGCAGCATCAAGATCATGTGAACCAGTAAAGAATCGTGGCTACTCTGGTTTATCAACATAAATTGCACCTCCATGTGGCAAAGGCATATGCATAGTTTAGGACAGACTTGGTCATCAGGTTTGAGATGAAAACATCTAACAGAATCTAGATTTATTTCAGATTTGGGGCATCAAGTGACACTTTTCTTAATATTTTTATATACTTATAATTTATTATCTCAGCTCTGCATAGTTCAGTGTTCCTAAAACGTGATCACGTTCTTGGTAGATGACAGGGAATTAGAAATGGGAGTTACCGAGTAAGTCAAAACAGGGATTAAATAATGGAGCCCACATACCGCCTGTCAATCATCTGGTAGCATTTCTTCATCCAGCCCAGCCCTGGCATCTTCCGTCTTGGGGTTGCTCCGTTCAAGTACACAATCATATAGTCCTCAGCTACCATCAGCTCTAAAGTACTTATTACATATCTGATCACAGGAAGGAAGAGGAGTGTTTTCATTTCCCCACGTGAAACAGTTCATCTTATTTACACTCTAATTATATAACATTTAAATTATAGGGAGTATGCCATTGAAGAATGGTCATGCATATTACCTCTTTACCTTGAAAAGAATGCAGTTTCCTAAGATGATTTCCCTGAGAGTGAGTATTGCTCATTTATTTGTATGGTTATCTTTTTTTTTTTTAATGCAGGTACACTAAAAAAATGTGTAGGTTAGAACCTGAATTTCAAAAATGTCAACCATGTTATCATATACCAAGGGCCCAAGTGAATGATATAAATGAACCTGGATTATCACCAGCTGACTGACCAAGAACATGTTATGGAGGAACAAAAGTAACACTTTACCCAAAGGAAATGTTACAGAATTTCAGAGTGCAGGCAAAACTGTGTTCATTTTGTTTTCAATTCATCCTGCTGACAAAAGAGTTCTTTTAAAGGTTTTAGCCTCTTGAGCAATATTCCTTGACAGAGATTTCATTGACTTTTCATCCAAGGCCAAGAATATTCTACATCATCTACTTCCTCTTCTTAAAGATGCTCTATCTGCCATGACATGCCACAGACATTCACTGAAAGCACTTTGTCAGAAGTATCACTCACAGGAAAAGATTTTCCATGACATAGTGGTAATCCGCCCGGCTGCTGTCTGGCAGAAAACAGGCAGCAAACACAATGATGGCATTTAGGCCATCCCCATAGTAGCCTGGGGGACAAACAGAAAGACATTTGTAACCCAGCTGAAAGCTCTTAATAATATTTAACCTAAAGGACAAATCTGGAAGCCCTGACAAGTGTGTGTATATGGATGTAAGAGATGCATCTTTAAGTGAGTATTATATCGACTGTCCTTCTATATGTATAAACACATAAACTTACTTTTCAGGAGTTCAAGTGTATGTTATATAGAGTCTTAAATATATAGTGTGAATATATTTGCATATATAGTATATCCACTTGTGGACGATTATATGTGTTGTACATCGTCATGAATGGGGTATATAAATATTCAACGTATCAAAGGATGGGTTGACTTCTGGGTTTCTAATTTATATAATGCTTCTGTCCTTTACCGGCTGAGAAGTTCTGTTTGATCCTCTTTAGCGTTTTTTAATTTTAGACTCTGGCTAATTTAAAGGGAAAATCTAGTCACTGAACTGCAATATAATCAGATACACGTACTCCAGTGACCAGATACTAGTAAGCTGACAAGTAAAAGCACCTTTACTTTGATTCTGAGGACTGGTTCACTTGCCTGTGGCATCCCTGGGGTCTCCAGATTCAACAGACAGTGCAGGGACACATGGAAAGTTCTGGCCAGGCCTAGAATAACTGAGCACAGAATTCAGAGCCCTGTCTTTTTAAAAAGGAGCAAACTCAAGAAGGGCCTGGTTAAAGCTGACCTCTCTGAGTTTTATGAAAATACATGCTTTGGGGAAAACTTGAGAATTACTTCCTGGTAGGTAACATGGACAGGGAACGAAGGTGGAGGTCTACCTGCATGTGGTGCTGAGAAGATAAAAGGCAAGTGTGGAACTCCTGAGAGTCAAGGACAATGTAGGGACATCTCAGGACACTTTACCCACATCTGAGAGCTCTGTCCCCTTCTTTAAGCTCCGTGTTCCCTCAGAGCTCATCTTTTGGAACTCATGGCAGCTGTTGGTCAAACCCCACAGGTTAATGAGTGGAATCTCACGTGTCTGTCAGTCAGATTTAAAAATGGAAGCAATGCACTGTTTTCATTTTTTTTGAGACTTATTTATTTTAGAGAGAGAGAGAGAGAGATCACGTGCACAAGTGGGGGAAGGGGCAGAGGGAGAGAGAGAGAGAGGGAGAATCCTGAGCAGGCCCCATGTTCTGCTCTGTGCCCGACACAGGGCTCAATATCATGACCCTGAGATCATGACCTGAGCCGAAGTCGAGTCAGCCCCTTAACCCAGTGAGCCACCCAGGCGCCCCACTGTGTTTCCTTTTTTTTAAATATCCCTTTTTCAGCACTCGGCATTTCTGTCCTATCACACAGTTCTGGATTTCAGAATCATTAGACAGAGCTGCCTCAGAGCTCTGAGGAGGCGGATAGGACCTACCCGCCAGCCTCATCAGAACTCAGTGCGTTTTCATTTTTTTTTTTCCCCAGGACTCTAAATACCCCTCTGGTGATTACACGGCAGTAAAATACTGGCTGGATATAGACTTGGATGGGCTTAACTCTTGAAAAGCAGTTTAATAAGATGTTCTCTACAAAGAGAGAGCATGACACTACCACAAAAGAGGTGGGGGCAGAGAGTGATACCAACTAAAAATATATCAAATTATGGGTTTGTGTGTATGACTAATCTGAGGTTGTTGTATGCAGTGTTTACTCTCCACGTCTTAGAAGATGCTGCCTATGTAAGTACACACCTGATGTAACGCATGTTTGCAAAACCACATTGGGGTAGCTTCCCTATGGATTATTTGCCTTGTTTTGTCTTTTCCAACATGTGGGTATTTACCAACTTCTTTTTTGAATGAGATGTGAAGGAAATAAATCTCCTTCTCCAATGGCAGAAGGAGATTTATTTTAATACAAGAAGAGTTTGTTTCACCAAACAATTGCACTTAAGGAGGTTCATAACCGAATGAAAACCCACAAAGGGTAAAGCAGCTTTGATCCACTAATGCTAACACCACAAAAGTACGCAATTTGGACTCAGCTCAATGACAAGGACCGGGTCCATTAAAAGAGATAACAGAAGTAATGAATCCAACTTATAAACAAGTACAAAAGCATCCTTTCAAAAAGCATCTTTCTAGGAGGAGCTGCCTGGCCCCAGGGTGTCAAGATAATTTCAAGGCCATGACCATGCAGCTACTTTGATTTCTTTTTCTGTTTCTGGAGAATTTCTAAGATTTTTTTTTTTTTTAAAGGACAGTCTGAGGTTTATAAACAGTACTTCAGAACTGGTCATCTTAAATGGCACTTCAGCTCTTTGCGTCAGTGTGTCTGTCCTTGGAATGCTGTGGTGTTGTATTCATTTAGGTTCATGTAATCGAAGGAATACTGAAGAATCAGCTCACCACTTCTTGGTCATTGTCTAAGTCAGGAACGTCTCTTTATAGAAAACTTCCTGAAATTTACAAATGAAGGTGGATTTTTGTACTTTTGGGGAGAGGAGATGTAGGAAGGGAAGAGGCAAAAGACAGAGGAAGAGAACAGGAGGAGGTAAGACCTAAGATGTCAGAAGGAACTAGAAGAAAAAGATATCTTCATGGAAGTTTTCCTTCCAAACCAAGATCTGGTGCCACTGTAATTAGGCTCTGGAGATACTTCAGATCATCATTGCTGGCAAAGGGCAATCGCGGGAGTGAGTAGTCCCACTTGCTTTTTGTCCCCCACAAATGCCTTCAAGGGGGTCAGCTAAGCCAATTTCGATGTTAACTATGCAGCTTACTCAAGTGCAGTTGGCTTCCAGCAGCTGAATAATTCATTTGAAGTTCGGTTTTTTAAAACATGTGTTTTATCTGACTCTCTTCTTAGTAACCAGGAGGTGAGTTCGGGGTGTGTGCGTGGAGGTGCATGCGCAATCCCACCAGGGGGCCTCCTGAGACCCTCTGCAGCAATAATGCAAACCTTACCTGAGGCAGAACAGAGAGGAAAGGGACGTAACACAAATTTGATGGCCAGCAAATGGAATGGAGAGAGAAGGGAAGATGTCACAGTCGCAACCAAAACATACACACACACACACCAGCCTGCAACTCTTCTCCTCATTCTTTCCGGGGCCATTTGTTCAGCAACACTGCAGAGGAGTTACCTGAATCTCCTATAATGAAATAAGAGAAGTAAAGAAAGAAGAAAGGAAACTTCTCATTATAATGCTTTGGTGTGACCGTCCTATGTTATTTAAATGCATCCTCTGTTCCAAGGTCAAAAAAGCCAGTTTCTGGCCTTACCGTGACCCCACACTATTGTTGATCAAACCCACCCAGATCTCTCTTGGTCCTTTTATTGAAGCAGATAACAGGAATATTGCTCATGGGCTCATGGGAGGTGACACTGATTCTGAGATCACCCTCTTTTGACTGATGACATAGTCGAGGCCCGAGATGTCAGGTCACGTACCAAGGTCATAGAGTAATTAGCAGCAAAGACCGGGCTTGAACTCTGTTCCCCTACATACGTACAAGGCGTACGTACAAGGCCTCTTACATCAAGGTCACCAAAGCTGAAGACTGAACTATTTGTCTCCATTCTGCTCTCACGCCTATGCCCAACTGGTAGGGACTCCTGGCAGAGCCTGGCTTTGCAGCCAAGTGAGGCAGCGGTTTTCATGACCCCCATCTTGCAGTTAACGCCGAGCACTATACCGCCGCCCCTTTCCTATTGGCCTCAATGGGAAAACCTTGTCAGAGCAAAATGGCGGACACCCAGAGGAGACCCAGGCCCACTATGGAGCGCTCCCTCCTAAAGGCTCATCAGAAGCCAGGCTCACAAATGCAACGGATTGGTCTCTAGGGAGGACTGCTTGATGATCCTTAGAGCCTAAGAAGGTGGTGTCAGCTTCCAACACAGCGGGCTGAGCTCTGGCAAATTCAGAACTAAAATCTGCATTGTCTTTACCTACGGAGCACAAAAGCGGCTCAGGGGGTGGGGAGAGGCGGCGTCT